CTTTTTGTGTTTGAAGACCCGTTTCTGAAAGAGGGTGACTACCTGCGAACTCAATGTTCACAGTGTTTTACTCCTGATTGTATTTGACAATTTCTTTATTGTTTCCATTTGAACCACTCTCTATTTAATGTGACACAAAACAAGTTAAAAAAAAAAGAAGTCTGATCACTTGAACTTCACTTTTTTTTTTTACTAGTTTTTATTCTCCAATCAGAGAGATTTGAATGAACATGAATAGATACTTGAGAATGTGTATTTCTCAAATATTAGACATTTCTTTTTATTTAAATATTTCGTTTTGTCTCATGCATTGAATTGAGTGACATATTTACCAATGCCCACAATGAGGTGACCATATAGCCTGGAATATATGTGAGTTTTAGAGTATTGTTCCTGTTGAATTAAATGAAAGATATGCGTCTTGGTATAATAGAGTGTGTTCTTTCCAACTCTTCAGTTTTTCATTCATAAAGTTTCTTTTTGCACATTTTTGTCATTTAGAAAAGTGACAAACTTCCCACATACTTTCATGAAGTCTGTCTTTGTAGCAGATTTCTAAACAGGTTTTAAATGTATGGCTGCTGTAGAAAAATGTCAAGAGTTTCATAAATTAAACATCACAGTCAAGTTCAATTTAATTAGATATTCATAATGTTAAATATTTACGACTTTGCTCTATCATATTCAAGGACATAAACAACACTGAACATCTTTTAGCTTCAATAGATTTTAAGCTATTTCTGAAAAAAAAACATCTTTCTTCTCAGGTACATTATTTATTTCCCCCCTAAATGAAACAGGAGATTTGGGGACAAAAAGAAGAACATACAGGAAGTATTGGTATCAGTAGTATTGCCTTAAAACTTCATTTCAATTGTATTTTCTTGTGCAGCATTTACGTTATAATTCAATATGGGACATTTTAAATGAGCAACTGTTGTATTGGACTTCTGCTTAATTTTAAATCTCTGCTTCTATTTTCTGTTTTCCTCTGCTGCATCACATCAGGGATGCGCGGCAGAGCATTCAAAAGAGGGCAGTGTAACCACACATGCAGCTTTGCTCCAGGCTTTTCCTCTATTTCAGCATCTAGCTCTCACATGTAACGGATACACCTCTCTTGCTTCTATTCAGTTCCACTCTCCATCATTGCAAATCAAACCTTTAACAGCAACTTGTTTTTTGTCCCCAAATTATATCTGTCAAGGCAAAAATGACTGAAGAAATGAAAATAAAATAAAAAAAGAAGTATGACTAATATGCTGTAATTTCAACAGTCAAAGTAAGAACCCAGCGGTCAAGCTGTGCAGAAAAATCAGCACCTGGTAATTGCTGCTCCACCCACTGACCCCGGTGCAGCGTGCATCTGCATACCCCGTGACTACGTATAGGAAAATAGCTTCATAGTTAGTGCATTATTGTTTCAGTGATCGCGGAGAGGTTGCTTTCCCCTGGCCCTGGGTGGCATCATTAACACCGCCTGGAGTTACACATTTAAATCAGATGGCATTGTCACAGGTGTAACTACTGCTGTTCATGCATGTGATTAATGTCCCCCTTTTTTTGATTAATTTCCTACACTGGCTGAGGAGCCCTCGCGTTTATGATTAATGAACCTGCAGCCTAATATAATTTAACGGTGGATGTTTTGTGTGTGTGTGTGTGTGTGTGTGTGTGTGGGTGTGTGTGTGTGTGTGTGTGTGTGTGTGTGTGTGTGTGTGTGTGTATGGTCAAGTTCAAGCTTAAGGAAATCTCCTGTCATTGTCTTAAAAGCCTCATTCACTGAAAAAACTAAAACGTTGACTCTAATTAAATCTAATATGTCAACCAATGTCACATAACTGTATTAGGTTATACCTAATATGTTTTATTTAAACGTAATGTTATTGCTTTCAACTAACCTAATACAGTTATGTAAAATCTGTTGACATAATACATTTAATTAGAGTCAACGTTTCAGTTTCTTCCGTGCTGTTCGAGGAGATATATCCCTGCTACAGTACATATTGGAGACAAAGACACAGACACTGGCTCAGCCCTCACATGTGAAGTTAGTTGCCGGCTGACACATAAATCCACACAAACTGACGTAGCTCTGGTCTCATGGGTTTTAACTTCATCGCTGCCTGAGGGCTGGGAAGGGTGCGAACAAACCAGAGCCGCACACCTGAAGGACCGGGGACAATGCGTGCGACTTGGTTATACTCACTGTTGACCTTTTGATGTCTAAGTCAATACTCTCTCTTTTCGCCTTCGTCCCTCTCCACCCCACCTTCCCCATCTCCACCGGCGGTGACAGAGACGGAGGACACAGGGGTCTGTAATTAGCTAGCTGACCCCGGGGTTGGGTTGTGTGACCCCAGCAGCCGTGAAGCGCAAGATCCAGGGGCCGATCAGATGAGTAGTTCTGAGAGATCGCTGGTTGAAAGACAGCCGCCCGCGAGCCCCGGCCAACCCCGTCACATTAGCCCAGAGACAGGAGCCCAGCTGCCGGGACAAACTGAGCCACAAACACCTGTGTGAGGCAGAGGACAGACATACAGAGGTGGGAAACGTCATCAGATCCTGTACTTAAGTAAAAGTAAAAGTACCTGAGTGTAGGAATACTCTGTTACAAGTAAAGTCCTCCAATCTGAATGTTACTCGGGTAAAAGTATAGGCATCAAAATATACACAAAGTACCAAAAGTAAAAGTCCTCATTAGGCAGATTGGCCCATTCCAGAATAATACATTTTATGTTTTGATTATAAATATTGATGCATTCAAGTGTTATCAAAGCTGGTAAAGGTGCAGCTAGTTTAACCACTTTGTATACTGTAGGCTAGCTTGTGTAATTGTAAATTAAGTCTTATTGAAGTGTTGATTACATTTTAGATCATTAACCCAAATCTGCAAAGTAACTAAAGGTATGAAATACATGTAGAGGAGTAAAAGTACACTATTGAGTGAAGAAGTACAAAGTAGCATTAAATGGAAATGCTCAACTACCACAACATTTTACAGAGTACTTGAGTAAATGTAGGCCTACTTAGTTACTTAACACCACTACAAACACACAGACATGCTTTTTCTACATCCACAGACACCCATGCAACTATGAAAACACACCACTCAAGGGAGGAGGAGGTGGAGGGGAAACCTGAGCCAGGTGGGGGGGAGGGAGGAGCAGTGCTGGCCCTTGGTCAAGTGCCTTGTATTCCACAAACAGGCCGCATCCAGTTACACTCTACCTGAGACGCCGAGCCCGAGGAGAGGATTCAAAGAGAAGCTTGTGGAGCTCCCACCCTTTGGTGCGCCTCCTTCGGCTAATGGAGATTTCACTCTAAGAAAAATACATTTCTGATTTCTCCTCCGAGGGGATTTGGTGGAAATCAAGACATTCTTTTCAGTCAGTTCATGAGTAATTGTGTTTTCGCTCTCTACCAGCTGCAGAAGTATTAAAAGCATGGGTGTTGCAGAGATACCTAGGAGCAGGTTGATAATTGGTAAATGTGGCTCAGCTGTGTGCCTCCACCGCTCACTACACTAATTAAAAGCAGCGAGATGGGAGAAAGGGAGAGAGTGTCATCAAGGACACACTGGGAGATATTCACCTGAGACGCCGCAGTCACAGAGGCTCCGGGCACATCAGGGTGACCTGAACGCCGGCGCTGTTTGAAGTGGCGGAGAAAAGAAAAAAAAAATAGACAAAAGTGTCTGGAGCTCAAACTACTGCCCTTGGGGGAATAAAGAGATATAGAGAGGAGAGGAGATGAAAAGAAAGTAAAGAGAGGAAGATATGTGCAGAGAGAGACATGTTTTGGATTGAGAGGTTGAAGAGGAAAGAGTCTCTGTGTGAAAGTTGAGGCCTCCTCTTTAGGATGCTTATTATTTAGCCCTCATTCATTTGTACCTCTTTACCTCTCTGAAGTCATCATGTTTACACAAGCTGTTACTGCCATTTCCCTGTTGTCTAACCCTCTGCTGTTTTTCCTCCTTCTTTCCCCTCGTTCTTTGTCTTTTTCCTGCTGGTTGGAAATCTGCAAGGCTTGCTCATCGGCGCCAGCCTCTGTTAATCCCCTCCCAAAGCACCTTAGCAACGCTAGGAATTTAGAGATGCTAAAAAAAAACACACGACGACAACAACTGTTCTTAACACTGGGCTCATATTGGCAAGAGTGGCCACATCTTGAGATGTGTGTGTTTTCCATAAGTAGTTCAGAACAATCTGGAAGGGTGTGATAACCGAGGATCTCTCAAGAGTGTGTGTGCGTGTGTGTGTGTGTGTGTGTGTGTGTGTGTGTGTGTGTGTGTGTGTGTGTGGGTGTGTCAGGATGCGTGTGTGCACAAAATGGAAATGTATGTTTACGGGATATAGTTCCTATAACACGAGCAACCTGGTAATCACTATGTAGTCACCTGAGATGCTCATTATCTAGTCCCTGTTGTGTTCACACACACACACACACACACACACACACACACACACACACACACACACACACACACACACACACACACACACACACACACACACACACACACACACACACACACACACACACACACACACACACACACACACGGCTAGAAGTGTGTGTTTTTCTACACCTGAGCGAGGCTACGATAGACCGAGAGGCTGACAGAGTGAACAAATAAACGATCACAGAAAGCGGTGAAACAACTTGTGTTATTATAAGCCAAACTTTGATGTTTGCCAAATGCCTTGATGAAAAAAAAAAGAAAATCAATAAAGCAAGGTTACAACGCTCGTAGCAATTATGCCGTTAGTTATTTTCATTTGTTGGCTTTTGCGGTTTTCACACATCAACACAGATCACCCCCACCTCTCTCTTTCTCTCTACCTAAAATCAATTACTTAGGGGCAATGGTAAAATAATTGAGGGCGCATTAAGGCCTTGAAATGAATACATAGTTAAAACTTTTCAATAACTTCTCACTTTGAAATATTAATTTACCTCGCAAATTGAATGTGAAAAAAAGGATGAGGAGCACAATGTTTTATTATTAGGCAGCAATAAGATGCAAGTTTTATTCAATATGTTTTTTTCAGCAAAAGCCTAGACAACAAAGTGTACAATGTTAGCGCATAACAAAGACCTGTCTCACAATATGATAATCCAGGAAGAAAAATGTAATAATATTATTTTTTTCAAATTTAAAACATAAATATACATAACATAAAGCTTCATGCACTAGAAATATGTTAATCGACACCTAGGATGAAATGAGAATAATAAATGATTATATTCTGCTTCTTAAATGAGAATGACCTGCTTCCCACTGACGGAGCTTCTCTGTTCCCCTTGTTCCAGATCAGTATGTTTGTTATTCGGGCCGGTCACACATTAAATACACTCAAGGCTGTAGAAATATTCATTACAGGCATTTTGACGGATTTTACAAATCTGAAAATGCAGCGGCTTCTTGCCAACTGAGGGACTAAGAGTATTAAGACACTGAAGCTGGCTCCAGTGAAAGGGAAAGGGGAGCTGGGTTTTCTTTTTTTTTTGGTTGCAAAAATGAGCTGGTGTTTCTGACTATCTATTTTTTTCTTTTTTACAGCTCGTCTTTTAAATAAGATAAAATAAACTCACCACATGCTCTGAAATCCAACACTTCACTTAGCTATAAAACACGGGGCGATAGGAGAAAGGGATGTGTGTAATTAAGGGGTTTATAGTAGGTAGCATCACATGGGAAAGAGTGAATGGAGGAAATTTGGGGCTCTGACTGTCGCTGACATTTTCCTAAAGGTCTTTTCTCCCACAGCACCTATCTTCTAGTGCTCCACGTAATGATGGGCTGCCAGCAGAGGAGACGAGTCGCTATCTGTTAATCACAGGCCCACAGTGATCCATGTCCACTGGTGATAGCCATGATGGACAGTTGCTGCAAGAGAGAGACAGACAGAGAAAAGAGGGAGATGGACAAAGAGAGGATATTGATTTGTAGCGGGATCAAATGTCAAAAGTCAATAAATAAAGCAGAATAGAGCAAATATAACCCTGTAGTTTCAAAAATATGTCTATATAACAAACATATATTGTGTATTATAACATTAACAGATGAAAAAATGTAACACATAAGCACATGGTTCAGTCAGAATACTTAATAGCCAGCAGGTTATCACATAAATTACTCAAATGTATCCCGCTGCTTAAAGAGTCTGATAGCCGACAACAATCTAATGGCCGCGGAAACAAATTGAGTAGGGTTATAATCATTAAGAACAATTTATCTGCTCCTTTTGGACATACTGCTGTGACATACACATATTTCACTTGTTCCAATCTGACGCATCTAAACAACCCGGTTTGTTGATCACTTGACCCCCGCAGGGTCCAAAGGTCAGCCCGGTTGAAACAGCTATCAGCGTGCAGCAGGCGCCATAAAACTGCTGTTTCTGGTTTGAACTCTTTGACCCCACATTCACCTCATTCTCTTCCACAAGGAGAATTATCACCTGCCAGCGAGGAGCAGAAATCCTTTACAGCATCTGGTGGGTACGCATGTGTGCAGGCCAGTGATAGAGAGACACTGCAGGTGTGTTGTTCAGCGCTCTCTATTGAGTGGATGGTGGAGTTAGTGAGAGTCAGTGAGGGCAAGAGACTTTCAGTCAAACAGCGACCTGCAAAGTGTATAAGAACAGGACTAGAAATTGCAAAGAGATTCACATTTTTCATTGCCATCTCCTGATTTCCTCTCAGTGTCACAAATATGCCATATTTCTCCTGATTTATGACAAGTTCTACCCTTTTCTTCTTCTCTTCTTTGTTTTCACAACCCCCCCACTGGCACTTTAAAGTGTATTTAAGCCATATGTCTCTAACAAGTGTAGTTTTTCCTCCCAGACAACAAGTATGGCAAGTCTTTTTTTTAAGACTTGCAGAAGGTTTATTATATATTTTTTGTAATTCTTTGTAAACTACCATATCGTGATAACACTTATTTTTGTGGGCCGACACACCAGTTTTGGTTTGGAAATCGTCCTTCAGTGATCACTCATGTACCATAGTAACGGAATAATTTATATTTTTACGTGATGACACCATATTAAAAGTCAGATGATTGACGAAGTGATTACAATTCATTCTGATGTAAAAACTGTATTGGGTAACAATTTTCAAAGCAATCGATCAAATATTTTTGAGCCAATTCAATGAACTATATATACTGTGTGGCGGTTTTAAGTCTCAACAAAGAAGTCAGGTAACGGTTTAAATGTACGTCCAAAATGTCATCACTTAATAATGGTGTGTTTATCTTATGGCCCAGAATTATGTAATGTGAGATAACAGTGACCCTGACCTCTGACCACTAAAACATTATAAATTCATCTTTGGGTCTGAGTGGATGTTTTAGCCAAATTTAGAGAGCTTCCCTCAAGGTGTTCTTTTGATATTGCAATGAGAGTGGGAGTGACGGACAACCTGAAACATACTGCCTCTGGCCACTGCTAGTGTCGGCACAGAGTCAAAAAAACAAGAACGTCAACTTCATAGTACCACAAGAGGAACTTAGAAACATCCTCTGAGAACCATGAATGTCTGTACAGCATTTTTTTCAATCTACATGATAGGTTGAGATAATTTACTGCCTAGGTAGAAACCCTGCTGATGGAGCTGGAGTAAAAGTAAGGGGATCTGCTTTCATGGCATTAGATTCGTTATTGTTATTATTGTATCTCAGATATTTCAGCCTGAACTAAAGCAGAGAATCGACCAACCAACATTGCCATCTATAGAGTCATGCCTCTAACAGTGCAGCCACAGAGAGGCTGAATTAAAGCGTTCCCCCTGCTGAAATTATACATTTTGTACAAGAGCCTGTTGAAATGGGAGGAATAAAAGAACAGTGAAGTAAGAAAGAAAGTAATAATAGTCTGCAGGAGGTGCCATTACTCTCAAACTATTCTACCCCAACTCTCACCCCTGTTATTACAAACCACATGCTTTAAAGTAGTCTGAAAAAAAAAAAGGGTTTGCTCGGGCTGGTGGAAAATAAACAGGAAGCCACTTTGGACATTTTCATTTAGATTTTATTGTTAATTCCCACTTGTGCTCCTGGGGACAACCCTAACGGCTCGTCCACACGGTGGCGTGCGTTGAAGCTTCAACGTTTCTGCCCATTCACTTTGAATGGGGTGACGTCACGCTTTGCAGAACTGCATTGTGGGAGCGTTGCTTCGCTTTGCTCGCGTTGCTCGCTTCAAAAGTTGAGCAATGTTCACATTTTGAAGCTTCGGCGGAAGCGTCAGCCAATCAAATCATATGCCAGTACAAGCTCTAGCCAATCAAACCGCGTGCTTGTGTGTCTGGGGCGGGAGATTCATGTGATTGGTTGTTGGTCGAGTTTCAGACACGCCCGCCGGCAAGCTTCAACGCATGCCGCCGTGTGGACGCTGAGTAAGTGTGTTTGTCTCCATGAAAGAGACTCTATGTGGAGCCACTCATGGTGAAAAAGAAACAGTGAGTACTCGGCCAAACATACTTCCTTCGAGTTTACAAAACAGCAGGATTGTAGAGGGTACCTAAAAGTTGTTGTGTGACCTTTCCTTGTTGTTCTGTTTGCCTCAGATTATCAGGCCACTGGTTTAAAAAGTGTTTGTCCAGACCAAACAATACAGATGGGACCCAAGGAAAATGGAGTTACAAGAGTCCCACTCCTTTAATCCCTTTAAAAAAATACACTATAAGCTTCCAATGTCTTAAAACCGAGACTTCTTCGTTTGTATACCCTTTAACGTGACATGCCGCAAATGTACACAGGCCAAACAATGTAGACGAGATGTGAGGGTTATAGTCCCCCTCCAACACATCTCTACATGCAACTATCGCGGCTCATTCTCATGCGATCCATTGCACCTTCATTATGATACTTTGCAGGGGAATGAGAGGTACGCTCACTGTAGATTGACTGATTACTCATCCTTGGGGTCTTGTCTGATTGTCTCGCTGCTAGTGTATCTTGCCTTGTTGGACCTATTTTTAGCTACGCAGCTGCACTCTGAGATCTCAGCAATAACGTTTGTCAGTACAATGTTAATGGAACTGATGCTACATAAGTAAAAGAAAAGTTGCAATAATGCCCAGTTTTTAAAACATACACGTTGGGAGCTGCAGCACTGCATACAAAAGATTTGAGTTCATGGCCAATAATCATTAGCTTCTTAGCTCGCCACGCTACTGGTCTTCAACCACTAAAATAGCTGTGCTAATCAGGTATGGCAAATATGGCACACCAAATGGAGAGACTTGAGAAAGTACTACTATTGTGTGGAAGCTGCAGACAACCGAAAAACATATTACAATGTATCTGCTGCCACGGCGGCGCGCGTTGAATCTTGCCGGCGGGCGTGTCTGAAACTCGACCAACAACCAATCACATGAATCTCCCGCCCCGGACACACAAGCACGCGGTTTGATTGGCTAGAGCTTGTACTGGCATATGATTTGATTGGCTGGCGCTTCCGTCGAAGCTTCAAAAGTTGAACATTGCTCAACTTTTGAAGCGAGCAAAGCGAAGCGACGCTCCCACAATGCAGTTTGGCAAAGCGTGACGTCACCCCATTCAAAGTGAATGGGCAGAAGCGTTGAAGCTTCAACGCACGCCGCCGTGTGGACGGGCCGTAAGAGCCATGAACGTCAGAGTGGGGATCCTGTTTTAGATTTTTGATTGTTTATAGTTTGGCATTGGTCTTTGTTTTTGTGCTGACCGCAACTTTTTGATAGCTGGATTATTTGGATTATATGTTTTGTTCAAAGAAATATCTACGGAATGACTTTTATGTGCAATTGCTGGGTTCTGTTTTTCATTTCAATAAAAATAGGAAAAATTGAAATAAATAAGAGCAACAATATGCAATTCATTCATTTTTCTGTAGCACATCATATCCTGATTAAATTGCATTTTACAATTATAAATATGCCATTTTGCCAGAATGGATGAAGAGGAGGTATCGGTGCAGAATACGACATTGTAATCCATCAGCCTGATGTGTGTGGAGGTGAGTGGGGTTATTTTGCAGCTCCCACATGATTAAACACAGAGGCTCATTGTGCTTTTGGCACTCCTAAAGTGGAGGCTGCCGTTTTTCATATACATTCGTCTTGCTGCCCTCAGCTGGAAGCAGGGATTTAAGTAACTGAAAGAGGTTTTCATGGATCAATAAAGACATTACATTTCACATGTAATGCTTCCTTAAAAGCATCTGCGGGAATGTCTTTTTTTTCTTAATATTTTCAGCATTTTTCTGTAGTTGTGGCACATTTCTTCCAACTATTCAGTTTGCTCTTGTTGACAGAATTGCCTAATTTACCGCTGAAAGTCTGTTGTCAATGCAATGTCATGTCTAGATCTCTACACTTCTGATTTACTTTGCTTAGTATGTTTGGCTGCTGAATTTCAATACAAATAACTCCAATCTAGGAGGTGTTACCTTTGTATGTCCCTGAGAAGTTATGGGAGTTGCAGTGGATGGTTTGGCATATAAATCATACAACTTTGACACTGAAACCCATTCAACGCACCTGACGCTGACGATTTCTGTTCACAAGCCTCCAAATGCAACAGCCAACAATGGCATCCAAAAGATAAACCTGGGCACACCTTTTTTTGGCCACTTGGGGGCAGTGGAAGCCCCCAAGTGCCAACACTGACATACTATCACCTCATAAAGCAGTTTCAAATATGTTTGCTTATTGCCTTAGGGAAACATTTGGCTCTTAAGTTGCTAAATACTCTATTTTGTACATAAAACTATTCAAAAACTCAGTCTTACAGATGCTGGACATGGACTGTACGAGAAGTGGTTGTATGTGTATCAGAACATGTTAGCCTAAAATGAGTAAAGTAAACTTCAGAGTCCAGTGATCACTTTTGATGGTTTTGTTACCACGTGTCTCCTTAAGTAACCTTAGACAGATGTTTGATCCACTTGTATTGTGTCCATTAGTGCAGCATCAACTATTCTGAGGCACAGAAGCGGTCGATACAAATATAATATGACATGTTTGTAATTCATAAGGGTTGTTTTGGAAGGCCAAGTAGATCCTAAATGTTGTTCAGGTTGATTTGTTCAACCTCGACATAATTCGTAAAAACTTAACCTTATAATATTTTAGAGAACATATAATAATTGAAGTGAAATTGTAGTTCAGGATGAGGACTTTGAACAGTTTGCAGAATATGTCATACAAGTATTAATACAAGTGTAATTCAAGCAAATTGGTTGACCCTGTTATTCTAAAGCAGGAATTTGAAAAATGTCATGGTTTTCTTCACAAAACTGTACAGCTTGGATTTATTTGAGTTATAAATAGAGATTTTTTTGCTTGAATTTATGATTATAAAGCAGAGTGCCTAACGTAATGGCTGTAGGATAATGAACAACATCTGCACTTTAAATTATATCCAGCTACAGTCGTTCTTAACCACGCATGGCATCCACGAAAAGTTTCAGTCTGGCTTCAAACCTATGCACAGCACTGAAACAGCCCTTTTAAGAGTTTTTAATGATCTGCTGCTAGCCGCCGACTCAGGCAGCCCAGCTGTCTTAGTGCTGTTAGACCTGACAGCTGCCTTTGACACTATGGGCCATAGCATCCTGTTGTCACGGCTTGAACAGTCCGCAGGCAACACAGGCTCTGCCCTTGCATGGTTCAGGTCCTACCTGACAGACCGTAGCTTCTCAGTGCAGCTAGGTGCCTTCTCCTCTGCTAAAGCCCCTCTTACCTGTGGGGTTCCCCAAGGCTCGATCCTGGGCCCCATCCTTTTTCTACTGTACATACTGCCCCTAGGTTCAATTCTCACAAAACACAATATCCCCTTCTATTGTTACGCTGATGATGTACAGATCTATCTGCTACTCTATAAAAATGTCAACTCACTACAGCAGTTGATGGACTGCTTAACAGAGATCAAATCCTGGCTGAGCCAAAACTTCCTCAACCTCAACGAGAGCAAGACCGACCATCTTTTTTGGACCCCAACCTCCAGCCTCCCCGGTTGATATTCTGGGCTCCCTCAATAAAAACATCCTCTCCTCTGTCACGAACCTTGGAGTGACCTTCAATAGCGCTTTTAAATTTGATAAGCAGGTCAGCAACGTAGTCAAGACCTGCTTTTTCAAAATACGACTATTGGCTAAGACCAAGTCGTTTTTATCTTTTAAAGACCTAGAAAGGGTTATTAATGCCTTTGTTACTTCGAGACTGGATTACTGCAACGCTCTGTATGTGGGTATGGACCAGGCATCAATTAGACGCCTGCAGCTAGTGCAGAATGCAGCTGCACGTCTTCTCACTGGCCATAAAAAGCGTGTCCACATCACCCCAATTTTGGCCTCACTACAATGGCTTCCAGTTCGGTTCAGAATTGATTTTAAACTCCTTTTATTTATTTTCAAAGCCCTAAATGGGCTGGCTCCTGCCTATATAGCCAAACTCCTCCATCGCTACACCCAAGCCAGAGCTTTAAGGTCGGCTGACCAGCTGCTGCTGGTAGTGCCCAAGACCAGGCTCAAAACCCGAGGGCACCGAGCATTCGCAGCAGCGGGCCCAAGGCTCTGGAACACTCTGCCCCTCCATGTGAGGTCGGCCCAGACCCTAGGGTTTTTTAAATCAACACTTAAAACTCACTTCTTCTCTCTGGCCTTCTAGCCTTTTTTTATCCAGCTCCACTTTTGTGGAATCAGCTTCCAGTTTGTGTTCGGGCGGCCGACAGCCTATCCGTTTTAAGAGTACGCTTAAGACCTTCCTTTTTGATAAAGCTTAGTTGATAAAATAATCTAATAAGAGTGCTTTGACGCAGATACGCTGTGCCTCTTCACCTACATTTTGGTTCTTGCTCTTTCACTTAAATCCTAAAACTAAGGTTATTACTACTCTTTCTATTTTTTCTTTATCCAAAACCTTTTCCCTCCATGACCTCACAAGGTTTTATTGGAGGGAAACAGGTTTGCAGAGGGGTCCTTATCCAAGGCCGGGGAGTGTTATGCCGTAGTCACAGCGTACCTCCTTATCTCTCACTAATTCCAATAAGGCCCCAGCGGGGACCTTGCTCCCTGCGTGTGCCTGTCTGTGTATTTGCATGTTCCAATTAACCCAGCCTCCCCCAAATGTTCTTGTTTTGTGTTTATATCTACGCCGGGATCCGGAGTCGAGGCTGGTCATGTTTGCTGTGGTCCTGTGCCCTGGATCCCCTATCCTGAGTTCTGGATTAAGTCGTGGACTTCGGGTCGTGGCTGGGCCTGTCTCTGCGGTCCTGCCTGGGTCTCGTCATGCTGCTTCCCTGATGGCTCCCACAGGATTGTTGACATCCTCGTGGATTCATCTTCTTATTACAGACACATGCATATCCAAACATTCGGTCTACCTACGCTGTAAAATGTATTATCTCTTCGATTTACACACGGCATCTATTGCACGTCTGTCCGTCCTGGGAGAGGGATCCCTCCTCTGTTGCTCTCCCTGAGGTTTCTCCCATTTTTCCCTTTAAACTGTGGGTTTTCTCCGGAAGTTTTTCCTTGTACAATGCGAGGGTCTAAGGACAGAGGGTGTCGTTTTCTCATACTGATATTCTGCACAAACTGTGCTGTTGTATTTGCTGTATAGTGTCCTTACTGTAAGGTAATTATTATATGTACAGCACTTTGGCTCGACCAAAAATCGTTTTAAAAATGTGCTCTAAAAATAAAACTTGATTTGATTTGATAAATTGGTTCCCTATAAGCCTCACTTTCAATATGCACTTCTATTTCCAACCAGGTACAATCTCTTGGGAAAATGCACCCATTTAAAAGTTTTGAGCAGATTAAATGGTTGCTATTAGTGGTTTATGTCTACTTTTCTAATGCATTAGACGGGGAAATGCTGCACTTGCTACATTGTGATAAATGAAAGTTAAACCTTAAGCAGAATTAAATTACTTTGTAGCAAAACGTTAGTTGGTTAGTTCTAGAAAAAGATGTTGGTCCGGCTTTTAATCAGTACTTTTTTTAAGTGGAAGTGGAACTTATTGTTGTTGTGAACCCAAAGATAACATATTGATGGTTTCACACATGAGGCGAACACCTGTCTTCTTAGTAAAAGTCCCAACCTAAGTCTAAATAAGGTTAGGTCTGTCTCTTGCCCCTTCTGACCCACATCTATGAGGGAGAAGAACCACTGAACGATGCCCATTTAATTGGCTGATAACTAAACTGGTGGAAAATTAAGGATTGATTTACAGTTCTTTCACAATAAAAGACCCTTGATAAATACATTACTTCCTACATTATCGTTGGCAGCTCAACAAAAAAAAGTTATCCGCAGGTAACACTAAAACCAGAGAAGTGTGAACTATGGAAACTGCAAATAGCCCCTTTGACTGTGTCTTGCTCGACATTATTACACGCCAGGCAGCTATCAGTAACCATGGTGATATAGATATTTTAAAAACTATAGATTGATTTACTTGCAATATTGTTTGGCTAAAAATGAAGTGTGTCATGTCATGTGTAAGGTAGCTCTGAGGAAAAGGGAAAGTGATCTGATTTTCTTCAACTTCCAAACTACTATCAGACACAGGGTAAAAGCTGACTTGTTTTCGTATTCCATTTTACCTTGCATAACGCAGAGGCTGCTTATTTTCAGCAGCTTTTTCAGTTGAAGCACTTTTCTTTTCTTTTGTAGACCGGGCACTAGTGAGGTCACCCAAACCCCCAGGAAGAGTGCCGGGATTTGAGGCAATTATTTTTTTGTGCCAAAACAGTTAAATGACAACTTCCAGGTATATCACTTGATGCCCAAAACGTTTTTCTCCCCATGCTTACATTGGGAAAGAGATGCCTGAGAAATATTTGTGGTAACTTCTCAGTATAATCACAATGTGTCACTTTCTAAATGACTAGAGGCTGAAAAGGGTACTGATAACTGAATGAGTAAGAAACCCTCCTTTATTCACGTGAATAAAACAGAATGACTGGGATGAGTTTAAAGGAAACACTTGTGTACTTACTATAAAAAGGCCCATAATGTGGAATATCTCCCAAACCAGGTATCTTTATCAATCAGCCTCTAGTGCTATATCCAGTTCTCTTTATACATCTATGAGGTCACCCCCACTTCAACATTTTGGGGAGTTTGGAGGATTCAACAACAAGAGGAATTAACAGTGATTAACTTTGTTGGGTTTTGATATTCAAATACATTACAAGTCAAAACATACATTATAATAGATTTAGTAATAGCTATGACATGTAAAAAGAAAGCTCACACACATTTAGAGTATACAAAGTTTACGGCAAATATAATTAGACTCTTGAATAATAATTTGTGAATGTCTCTGTGCTTTTAAAGGAGATATGTGCTGGGGGTCCTTTGGACTCATGACCTCTGTGAAATCCTGGCTGCAACCCTGACAGTCTCCTCATCCTTTCATCAGTGATGGACAGTCAGGCCACTCAGTATGCTGCACCCCCCACCCCCTAAACTCCCATCTTCTTCAAACTTATTCTTTCCTTTCTCCTCCTTCCTCCCCAATACTTCTCGGTTCCCGTGGAGTGGCTGGTTTTGTGTGGCCCCAGCACTGTCCCGTTTTTTATCACTTCTCTGACGGGTTACCCCGGTCCCCCTCGCACCTGCGCCGCTCCCAGGTCCCTACAGGAATGCGCTGGGGCTTGTAATCGCCTTTGTGGGGGCCATTGAGTTGTACGGCTGACTGAAACTTCCCAACCTCACAGCGCGCTGGCCGCTGAATGGGGCTCAGCGTGGGGCGGCTCTCCAAACCTCCACCGCTGCCAAATTCCTACAGTGGAGCTCCACAATCACTCCCACACAGGCCCCGATATACCGCCAGGCAGGAGGGACAGGGAGGGGGTGGTGGGGTGTATGTGTGTGTATGTGTGCGCGTGTGAGTGTGTATGTGTGTGTGTGTTGGGCAGACAGATGAACAAGTCTACATTTAACTCCAAAGACACTTTTATGCGTAATATCACCACTCTCAATGGACATAATTTCTCGAGTTGTTGTCATTATTCGATTTGGTAAACAGTGATTTAGTGCAATAATAAACCAACATTATACATTTTCATTTCAATATCTCACCTCTTGTCAAAATGTCCCAGTGCAGATGCTATTCCAACAACGGAGAAATCTGAAAAAAAAAAAAAATTGAAAATAAAAAAGGCGGTTTTGAATGCTGGACAAAGTTTGAAAATAAAGCAATTTCTCATAACTTTCAGGACATTTGTGCTGCGTTTCGGTGCATTAGGTCTGTGTGCCGACATATAGCGTAGCTGTGGGAAGATAGAGCAGCACTGCAGGATTAAGAGGCAGCAAGATTGTTAAACATGTCAACGTGTAATTGCACGATAAGGCCCTTCCGAGGAATTCATTGGCCCAGTTGCTTTCTCTATTCCGCGCTAATCTCGCCCGGCACATTCGCTCTGTGCAATCTGTCTCCATAATCTTCTGTGACAGAGCGGGCGACGAGAGCAGCCTGCCTGGTAATTTTTTTAGGAAAAGGGGGGGAGACGTGGAGAAAATATGCAGAGGCGTGATAAAGTGACGCTAATTATCCCCATTTAGGACAGGGAGTGCAAGGGATCGGGGCTTTACGAGCGAGTGTGCGCCAGAGCTGATGGCCTCCTAGCACGGAATATATCGGTGGCTACAAGATAAGAGCATCGCATAGTGGAGAGATGTATTGGCCGGTCAGCTAAACACACGCACACACTGACGCACACGCACAAACACGTACATCGCTGCCACAGCTTGTATACACTGCACCCTACACTTACCCCTCTTCCACCTCAAGGTGTAATTTATTCGGGTTAAATTTGCCAGAACGCTCCTCTTTTAGCCTGGCGATGCGCCGTGACGCGCTCCGCCTCTCTGGCTTTCAGTGTTAATCCGCATCTCTCCACATCAACAGATAAAATAGAAACAGATGCAAAACGCACGAGGAGGCCTTCCCCGTGCCATACGCTGCGAGAGATGTCTCCATAGATGAGGTTTCTTTTGGGTTATGGAATTTAAACTAATTTCCAGACATTGTTCCTGTGATTTCTGTCAATAGATGAATGCGCAGCCAGACGCTACACGCTACTTTGAGGCCTAACAGGTTTAATTGACATACCATGCAAGTCTTCATCAGTGTGACATAGGCCCTTTAACTATGTATTTGAGATTAATTGATTTGTCAAAATGCCTAAGTGGGCATACATTTCACTCATTTGCATGTTTATGGCTATTAGCCTGTATCTATACGGGGCCTACAGGCAATAAGAAAACTGTCAAAAGCAGCTGAGGCCTGTCAGAATGTGACGTCATTTTCAGGAGAAATGTTCAATATTTTAAGAGCATTTTAAAATGTATGTATTTTTTCTTAAACATGTCTGATCCATACTGAAGGTGTTTTGTACAAATGTATCAAAACTCACCTCAATAAAAAACGTTGAAATGATGATGAGTCATCAGTCAGTGAGAAGTTAAAGTCCAGTCTGTGAATCAGATGTCCTGTATGCTTTTGGTTTCCAGTAAATCGAAATAAATGTTGCATTATTTAATGGTTTGCTTTGTGCTGTGAATGCAATTGTGTTTTTTTTATTTGGCATTGAGATTGTATTTTCCTTATTAAATATGGCAAAGGTTTATTAACCTAACGTCTCTTGAAGTGCGTTTGTTTTATTAAATGTGAATGTACACTTTAAATAATCGTTTGTGCCTCATGTACTTTTCCCGGATCCCTTTACTGTCCTGCCTCTGTAAAGTGTCACTTTCACTGCTTAACTAAAATATGATATAATAAGGATTAAACCTCGATTACAGGATCTGTTATTATACATATGTGTTTAACTGTTGATCTATCATCTTTAAAACGGTTCATTTGATTACCAAGGTAAGCAAACTAAATTCTTTTTTTTTGTGATTTTAAGGATGCACGTCTTTTTCCCTAAAGTCATTTGTAATGTCTTCACAAATCTTTCAATATTTGAATCAAGCAATATCATGTTTCAGTTTATGTATTCAAGTGTTAGAAAGTGAGAAAGTAGAATAAAGTGGAGGATTTAAAATAAAAGTCCGTCAGTGTAAACTATACCAGTTTAGGTTAAAGATCACTGATATTTATTTATTCTTCAATTAATGTAATAAATCAATACTTTCATCACTAAAATATTGATTATATGTTACTGCTTTCTTTATTTTACGTCTGAGTCGAATGATTTAAAGTCAAAACAGAAGGAGTGAAATTACATCAAACTAAATTTCAATCGGTGCATCTAAAACATATGAAGGCATTTGAATAGTTACAATTATATATTAAAATCTTTTTTTTTTTTTATAAAAGGCCAAAGGCTAACATTAACCCACAGTTAAAACGTGAAAAATGGTAAATAAGTAATAAAGCCTTTTGATAGGCTGGTACATTTTTGTTAGAGAAAGTCATTATTTATGTGATCTAAGAAATTGAAATGTTTAACAGCTTTGGAATTCGTTAGAAAAATATAAATCTTATGAATAACGTATTTAATAAAATGACTATACATTGACAGAAGTTAATAAATATATTAAATACAATAAAAATAAATCTGTTTAAATTGACACTGATATTTTAAAACTCTTTATATGGTAATATTCGGTTGTATTATTTAAGTAAATCCTTTTATTCCTGTAACAAATGAGGACGTTTAGTTATTTACACTAACAGGTGGTTTGTTATGAGGCCTTCACCCACTCTGTGTTATCAGATATATTTAGACAATGCCATTTAATGTGTATTTTTTATATACATATGGAATATTGGCTATTAATGTGGCATTGTTTAAATGTTCACAGCTTGAATATGGTCTGACCTGCATGCCACTTAAAAATAAAATATTAAATAAATGTTTGAATTAATTTCTCATTACACCCATTTAAGTTTGACCCATGAAAAACACCATCCTATCAACACGGGTTCCTCAGGGCCTACAGACTGAAGATTTCACGCACGATTACGCACAAACAATTAAGCTATTTAGAAGCTCGTGGGATCAACATTTTAACAGGTGTCTATTTTTCTCGAGTGGGAGCTTGATAATATTCTTGTGTCCTAAAACGTGAAAACACTCCTGTGAGAACATTGTGTAAAATAATCAATCTAAGACCGTATTCTTGAGAATCAAAGCAACATCTGGTGAAATTTATTCAATTCTTCTTCATTGCAATATCAGGGCTTTTCACTTGCAGAAAAGCACTTAAATTACAACAGCAGTTGCCCGTCATCATTTGAAATATTAAAATTATTCACAATTTACAATAATTAGAGTGTTACAATAAAAAGAGATGATTTCGAAGAATTAAGACACAGGCTTCTGCAAATGAACACAAATGTTTAAAGAATGTGATTTCCCCATTTCTTTTAAAGCACTTTCTTAAGATTATGACACGTTATCTCATTTTCAATAACTTACAAGAGCCCTCCCCCCAAAAAAAAAAAATGAGACAATTTAACCAAATACCCCCAAGTGGACCTGGTTTAACCCTCAACTTAAACTGTGAAGTAATGGACAAAAAGATGGTAGCACAATAACCAAAATCTCAGTATCAGATATATAATTCCACTGGAGGCTATTAAAAAAAAAAAGCCGAGATGAATTTGCTATTTACCCTTCATTTACAATATCATAAACATTCTGTACAAAATGCAGGTAGTTCTCGGGACCGGGGTTATTTAAAAAAGAGGTAAATATTTGGTTATGTGTTCGTTTGCAGTTTTCAATTATTCTGTGAGTTTTAAATGTGTGTTAGAGGGACCGTCCCGTTCACTCCAGCCGTGGCGCTCTGGTAATGCTGCGGCAAGGCATGGAGTCTACTTTGCATTGACGGGTCCCCCGGCTCTCCGGTCGGTAAATACATGCTTATCATCTCTCTCAAGTCACCGGGGCAAGGACCCCGTGAGTGTGTGCTGCTGACGGGAGGGCTTACACTCGGCTCCGACTTCACAAGCGACCCTAACGTCCCCATGGCAGCCGAGGAGGAGACGCCGGAGCCCTGGTGCTGTGAGTAGCTGATCCCGCCGTAGCCGGATGGAGAAGCGTTCATGTAGCTCTGAGAGTTCGAGATGGGGCTGTACTGCAGGGCCGTCATGTCGTAGCGGTGCATGGGCTGCGGGTTGTGTGAGTGGTGGTGGTGTGAGTGGTGGTGGTGCACCCCGCTGCCAGGGTGCTGGCTGTAGGCGAGCTGCGCCTCCTGCATCATCGCTGCGGCCGCCGCGGCTGCTGCCACCTGCCCCGAGTACGCACCGTTCGCCCAGCCGTTCATGTGCGCGTAGCCGGAGCCGGCGGAACCTCCGTGACCCCCGGGGCTCTCTAACCTCTGCCCGACCCCGGATGAACCCATCCCGACTCCCATTCCAACTCCCATTCCAACTCCACCGCCTGGCCCAGAAAGAAGTCCACCAGCGAGGGAATATTTGTCCTTTTTCAGCAGCGTCTTGGTCTTCCGTCTTGGCCGGTACTTGTAATCCGGATGCTCCTTCATGTGCATGGCTCGCAACCGTTTCGCCTCGTCGATGAAAGGTCTCTTCTCAGCCTCGGACATCACTTTCCACTCTGCGCCCAGCCGCTTGCTGATCTCAGAGTTGTGCATTTTTGGGTTCTCCTGTGCCATCTTCCTCCGCTGGCCCCGGGACCAAACCATGAACGCGTTCATCGGTCTCTTCACCCGCTCCTGGTTCGCTTTGGACCCACTGTTCGGCCCCGTTTGCCCCGTGTTTGTGTTCGTTTGGGGACCGGGGGAATGGAGGTCAGTTTCCATCATCATGCTATACATTCACCTGGTTTTAAAGTTCGCCACCAACAGAGAAAAAAGTCTATTTCAAGATAGCAGCGCACAGGATCGAGTGCGCACAGGATGACTGGATAACACAATTTAATATTCTAACTCCAAATGATTCAAGATCAAAATTAATCCAAAAGGGATATAAAATGTTCTCCAACCAGTACTTCACGCGCTCTTCGCCTGGGTTGGTTCACATCCACTGTGGGCAGAATGCGCATTTGAGCCACTTTCCCTGTCGGAGTTGAGAAGTTGGGTTAAAGCGGCGGCCATATGATGCGCACTGGCAGCGGTTAAATGAGCCACAAGCGGCCAATGAGGCTCTAGCAGCAGATTGATTTGCATGGCGTTTGGTCAGGTGACCAGAGGACCATAGAGGAAGAGCTCACCGGAGGAGGAGGAGGAGGAGGAGGAGGAGGAGGAGGAGGAGGAGGAGGAGGAGGTAGGAGGAGGAGGAGGAGGAGGAGGAGGAGGAGGAGGGGGGCAGAAAAGAGGGTCAATCCCACAAATAGCACAAGGCATTTGAAATTTCCAAACACGCTTTCAGAGGCTTCAGCTAAACAAAAATAACTAAGATTTGTTAGCAGTGAGTGGGGTGCAGACTGTGATTACCATGAGTCAAACATCTCGACATATTTTTAAAGATTAGTTGCTGAATTTCGGAAATCCCTTTCCCACAGCTTCAATATAACACCGCTTTTAAATTCGCATGCTTCAGTTAAAGTTTGGGTATAAATATTTCCACTTTTCTCTTAATGAATGCTTGAAAATCAGACAATTTCCTTCATTTTTAAGCGAGTTATTCTCAAACCTTTTGTGATTACTAGAAGCCCTGGGCCCCAACTGTATTTATATGTACTAAAATAACACAACAGTCAGCCAAAACCAATTCAATATCAGGCGATTTGAGGCTCGAGCAGAGCTTCAAAATCCATTTGTTCAGACCTCTTCTCTGCCTGCCTCTCTCTGCCTTCAGGTGTGTAATTAAGGTAGTAATAGTAGGTGTAATAGAAAGACATTTACACACTCAATACAGAAGATGATGTGAAAGAGATTTAGAGAAAAAAAATGTTGGTCTAAGAGGAGAAGCCCTTCGGGATGGATCGCCATATAATGACGTGAAATTGCTGGGGCAAAGCGTCGTGATCGCCGTCTGCTGGCGGTGCATGCGCCTGTGTGTGTGTGTGTGTGTGTGTGTGTGTGTGTGTGTGTGTGTGTGTGTGTGTGTGTGTGTGTGTGTGTGTGTGTGTGTGTGTGTGTATAGCTGAGGATGAAAAGAAAGGCCACGTGTCATTTACTCTGCCATCTTCTCTGGAGTTTTTTTTTCTTACCTGGCTGATACATTTTTTAAAGTTTCTTATTTAACAGGTTACCCGTGCGTAAAAACTGACAGGGAAGTCTTGGACTCCGCGCATTTATAATCCAGATTTCACAGCTGACCTCCCCTGAAAAGCCCAATCAACCCTTAATTGAAAAGGAAAACGGAATACCACTTCCCGTGGCGAGACTAACGATTTAATCGTCCTTTGTTGTTTTTTATTTTTAATTGGAGCTTAGCTTGATATGGCGGTGTGTTCAGGGCCTGAGGGAGAGGGATCACTCGGACAGATCCATGCCTCCCTGGTAATGGGGTTAACGGGATATCAGACCGATGGTCAATAAGCGTCTCCTCTGGTCCATGTGGCTCAAGGCCCGAGAAGATGGCGATAGGATGATGGTGACACATGGAGAGTTACAGATTTGTCAGCGAGTGCCAGTGAAGCCATCACAACAAAATACATATTCCTAATAACAAATAATAATTACGATAAACTTATGATAAGGAAATTGAATTAACACTGATTAAACTACCTCACATCACAATCACAGTAAACATTTTGAAAGTATTCAAAACGTATTTCTACATTTAAAAAGTAAGGATTACTATTTATTTACCAAATCAGTTAATTACAGTAATATAAACCAAAATACAATGGATGTTTTTCCAATAAAAAAATGAAACATCTGAATATTTTTTGATACATATTAATATAGCCTGCTTAAATTAATTCAGTCTTCACAAACGATGCTGCACAATGTTCAAATCCGGGGGGATTATTTAAGGGGTATATATGTTTTAGGATCGATCGAGAATGATTAATTATTATTGTGATTATTTGTTCCTCTCATTGTGGAGTGGGTTTAGGCTTGTAGAGGATTAGCCTTCACAGTGACACTGGGACCCCGGTGGCCCCTGTTTACTCTCCCTGTCATCCCCCATCAGTCACTCCTCTTTTAACAAACCTCTTTTCAAAACCTGGCCTTTGTGCGCGGCCTCTGCAACAGGATGTGCGCACTGCGATGATGGTGCACAACTGGGGCCAGGGGTCAAAGCAGTTATACCCCAACCCCCCTAATGAATTTAAATAGAAAAATAAAAAAGTGAAAATTAAAAAAGAGAAAAATTAGGTATAAATAGTCAAATCTAAAATGCACAGCGTTTTATTGTGCGGTTTACTATGAGCCAACTTCTTCGCAAAGTAACACGCAGGCACAACGAAAGTGAAAGAGAGACCGATTGTATCTGGGTTGAGGTTCCCCCCTTTAATCTGTCATCTTTCCTCCTAAAGCTGTTAAGCCAGAACAACAATGTCCACGTGTCTCGGTGTGTGTGTGTGTGCAAAGCCAGCGGCGCGCGTAAAACTGGGTGGTGTTGGTTTTGGGAAAGAAAAATAAAAAAAGAGTAATGATCACCTGACCTGGACAAAAACAGCAGTTTACACGGGAAGAGCAAGATAAAATAAATGTGTTACTGCTTCTATTTACAACATGTGATGATCAGCCCCCACCTGCTCCCCCCCTCCTCCTAAAAGTAAAAACACCGAGATAATCACGTAACCGAGCCGTGTAAAACAACTTGTAATAAACACTCCCAGAATTTACAGCATGCAGCTGATCGTTCTCGTTAATCAGGCAAATAAAAAGGTGGAACCGAAAACCTCTCACTCCCGAACACATCAGGAGCTGTTCGGAAAATCTAACGGAGAGCAACTGGTAGCACCGCGAGCCCAGAGCAGTGCGCAATGTGCAGCCAAGCCCCGGTGCGTCTCCCTTGTCCCAAAAATAAAACGACAGCCTGCAGCGAGAAACACATATTATCTGCTTTGAATTAAACACAGCAGAGCGCAGACGTTCCGAAATAAAGGGATGCCATAAATACAGATATTTAGTTCGCTTTACCCCTCCCGTTTTTCAGGATTAAATCCACTTTACGCAATTGAAGATTTTACGCACAACAGGAAGGTTTCCTAATAAAGCATCCACAGGTTACATATTTATAAAAATGCCTTTTCTCTGAAGGGAATTATATGCAAACTTACGCATGTTCCCCTCGTTCCCTCTACTCCAGACCATGTGGGCAGATTTCATACTCCATACTCCTAAAGCCGTCCTAAACCCTGCAAAGCCTCATGTAAAACCGCTACTCCCACTACAATCTGGCCGCTCGAGTGCCAAGGCCATCCGTGCCCGGTGCCCAAACCCACCACACACACTGAGGGGCAGACACAAGAAGAAATGACATTTATTATACACTCTAAAAAAGACAATTCCAAGTTATTGTTTCTCTCTGCGAAAGGGGCTTGCTTTTAACATAATGGAGCATCTTTTGTGTGCCACAGAACAATACAAAACAAGTATTCTAATAAATAGCCACTTCTTTTTTTTTTGGCTCTCCAGGATGAATGGGGCTGGAGCGGCGGGTTCTGAAAGGCAGCTGTGCCGCATTGGGGGAGGAGGGGCGAGGAGTAGGGAGGAGCCCAGCACCCCCCCTTCCTTACCTCCTCCTGTATACTGACTCCCATTACTGATCCTGGAACAGAAAAAGATGCAGGGAGAGAGGGGGGGGGGGGGAGAGGTATTGACTTTGGAGGCTGTTTTTTTACTCAGGACATACACTGTGTCCAACAATGTGATCCTCAAACCCTCAAATATTGCCTCATACTGTGAAGTCCACAGTATCCAATTAGATTCAGTTCCTATGAACCTGCACAGCTTGCAAGCATGTGGCTCTGACAGCTTCTAGGTGGAGAAACACACACGCGCACACACACACACACACACACACACACACACACACACACACACACACACACACACACACACACACACACACACACACACACACACACACACACGCACACTCACAAACATATGTAATACTGTATAAGAAACAGCTGGGATCATTAAAGATTTCTTATTCACATATCGTCTTACATTTGGGAGATCGTAATATTGCATCAGAGTCTTTACTGGCATTACAGTATAAAGTGATGACATTATTGTCATATTCACATTACTGATGATTATCTATCAAAAATGTCGTTCTGTTAATATTATGTGAAAGCACCAATAGACTAGTCAACCCTGTCTCGATATCAATATCAAGGTATTTTATCAGAAATATTGTGATATTTGATTTTCTCCTTATTGCCCAGGTCTAGTGGCAACTGTTTCCTTTGTTGATGTGTTAAATGTATAAAATGTTGTGAAATTGTGAAACATTTCTATTCTAGTTGCTTCAAGTGCTGAGGTAATGTCTTTAAATGTCTGTTTTGCCACTCAATAACCCAAAGACATTCAGATTATTTTTATATAAAGCATAGAAAAGAAGGAAATCCATATTTGAGGGACTGAAAACAATTTTCTTGCCATAAAGAATTCCTTTGTCGATTTTCTGATCATAAAAAGTTGTCCGGTATTTCTCTGTCGCTGCTTATCCAGTTGACTAATCCTTGCCACTCTATACACACCAGCAGGTCTGTTCAATCTACTCTTTCCCACCTCACAGATGTATTTTTCTCATATTACCCTCACATGTCTGTTTGTTTTGCAAACAGCAGCAGAGCCTGGCACGGCGGCTCCTTCCCTGTTAATGAATCACACTGCAACAGGCCTCCTGGCTCCAGACGCCCTGACGGAGCTGATGTAGCTGGCAGGACTCGGAGCTGCTTCACACACCCATCTGCTAACTGCTGGAGCCAAGGTGAAAACAGTGTGCGTCCTATAAAAGTAAGACCTTCTATTGTTTAGTAACAAGGGGTGGAAACAAATCTTGGTGATGCTTTTCTACAGAACATTCATTGCTGTATAATGACTTGAGGTAAACTGGACAAACCGTGGGCCTGCCATCCACAAATATATAATTTAACATGGAGAATCTTATTTATTTTTCTAGAATTGTATAACACAGAGAAATATCTCAACTAACACTACTTTGGTTCAACATTTCAGAATAGCCCTTCTGCTTTTTCTTGACTTCAGTCGAAAAGATGAT